GCTTCTGATCCTTTTGGTGGGGTTTTGCTCGTACGGACCTAGGACGGGGTGCAGTTGGTTACGAGAAAGTACGAGGCTTAGCTGTGAGACAAGATGGTTATGGGGACGAGTCGACCCGAGGGATTTAGATGCTAGAAAAGCCTCATGAGGCCCGGCTCACCGTCCGGTAGGGCTGAACCTGAACCAGACGTCGAGGCAGTGCTTCGTTCGGTGACGAGCGGGAGCTTTGAACGTCGCTAGCCATATTTTAGCTGTTTATGGATAGACCTGGTTTGCCGGTGAGTTAGTCTCAATGACATTCCGTTTCGTTGGTTTGTAGTCAGCTGTGATCAGTCGTCCTTGGGACAGCCCATCCAACTAAACCATGCACTCGATGTTCATATATGTCACATCGAGGTGGGCACCTTGAAGAATCTCAGAAGTATTTTGTTTGATACTTGATTCGACCGAGGCTACCAGCCCAACAAATTCTCAATACTGGGGCATAAACTTGACAATCTTGTCTTCTGCCACCATTTTACCTTGCCAATTTCATATCTCCAAGCCAATCCTACAGTCAAAAATGGACCGAACACCGAAAGCAAGCAAACGTAGCAGGCTTTGAATGAGCAATCATTGCTCAAGCATTAGTCTCCTTCCCCTTGTACTCGGCTGTCCTGCCGACCTTCTCCCAAGGTGCAAACGCCTGAAGACTTGGTTAGCATTTTTGTAAGTGAGCAAGAGGCAGAATCAGCAGGACTCACGTTCTCAACATTGCGCAACGGCGCAGCAAGCTCCGGGAAATGTCTACACAGCACATCCTTCATGGTGTTCTTCTGCACCCAGTCCATACCCTCCTGCGTGTACACCTCGGGGCACCATCCATCACCGGCGAGGAACCGATCAGACTTGATGCGGCGGCTCGCCATCAGGATGAAGACGCGGAAAGCCGTGTCGCTGAAGCCGAAACCTTCAGGCAGTGGCTCACTGAGCGTGCCAGCTAGGAGATCAACGGCCTCGATATCGCCATTGTATACCTCCTCTAGATCCGCCGCCAACTTTGCGGCCTCCGCACCGGGACCCGTCAGGTCCTTGAAGCTACGGACGGGCGGCATGTGGAACAGACGCCGGAAGGCGTTGTACCTCGGTACGCCGCGCTCACGGTCACGGAGGATATCGACGGTTCCCATATCGAGGTGTCTGCCCTGAGGAAATTCTTTGTCGGCGGGAAGGTGCAGATCACGGAGAAAGTTGGGCATGTTCTTCGCGCGGATGGCGCCGGGGTAGTTGACGCCAAAGGAGTAGAAGACGTCGGCAAAGTTCAAGCCTAGGCCGTTGCTGTTCGTGGTCTTGTCGTCTAATGGCGTGCGGGCTCTTTCGAAAGCGACCTCCTTCATTGGGAGGGTGTCAGCGTGTTGTCCGCTCTTGACTTTGAAGAAGGCAATGTCGTCGGGGACGAGCGGGTGCAGACGGTATACGGAAACGAATTCCTCGGTCAGGGAGTATGGGGCGCCGTCTTGGTCGGTTCCTGAGCCCGGGATGCCTGAGATGACCTCGGACTTGTTGTCAGAGATACGGCCGAAGACGTGCCACAGCTGTTCGGCCTTGTCAGTAATTCCATCGCAAAGGTACCAATAGGGGGCTTGCCTTCTCTCCAACCAACCCCCACCAGTTCGCCTCCATGCCGATCTTCAATGTCGGGTGCTTCAAGATAGCAGGCGTCCACTCGACGGTGTGAATCTTGGCCATGAGTGCACAGTTGATCAACCTTGCCGTGTCAAAGATCTCATCACTCGTCCACGACGGGTTCGACAGCTTAAGATGGCCAGCGATAGCGTTGTGCTCCAAAGCAAAAAGGGTATGCAGCATCTCAAGACCAACCCACCAATTATGATGGAAGCCGGTTTTGGGAATACCGTTCTCGCGAGGAAGGAACTGCTCGCCATTCACACGGTCGACCGCAAGCTGTCCATCATGACAGTTGGATCGAAGCTCCACGGTCTCGGCTTCAGTTGAACCATAGATCTGCGAGCCGTCCCACCAGTGCGTGTTTTCGTTCTTGTAGCCCGGCGACTCATCATCCAGCTTGGAGAGGGTACTGTCGACCTTGGTTTTGAAGATCTTCATCTTCTTGTCTGGCCATGTGTCTCCCTTGGGCATGGGAACGTCCCAAGTCTCCTCGCTCGAGGCATGCTGCGCCCAGTCGTGGACCTGGAACTGGATCCAAGCAGCGGCGAGCAGGTTGACGATCGTGGCGGGCTTGAAGCCACCTTCCGGTCTCGCGAGGATCTTCTCAGAGATGAGTCTCGGGTTTGGCGTGAACAGCTCTTCGTGGGTGGGCATCTTGGCGTGCTCTCTGGGGATGTTGCGGCCGAAACGCATCCCGGCACAGCCCATCTTGGGCGCCTGGAGGTCGTTATAGAGGCCATCTGAGTTCCTGACGGCCATGAACTTGGTGTCGGACATGGGACATTGCGCCGGTGTACCTTGGTCTTCAGGAGAGGGGTATGTGTCGTATAGATTCTCCTGGCGCAGCTCGAATCGCAACGCCAGAAGGTTGAAGGCGCCAATGAAGGCTGGCAATTTGTGCCATGCAATGAAGATGTTGACAACCTTCCAAAATTGGATGAAGAGGAACTTGAAAAGGTCTTCGACCGATTGGCGAACCTGGCTTTTAGTTGCAGGCTTCATGTTTGCTGTTTGCTGAGATATCATTGATTTCCAGACATGACAGAGTCTTCACCAGACGAGTACCATGCCACTCTTATACAGCCATTTCACTTCAACACCTGCAAGCCTCGAGCAGCAGTCACATGCCGGCCAGGAAGAATATCGAGGCTGTTCAAGGCAGTTTCTGCATTAGACCGGCATCTCGAGCCTCGTGTAGCAGCATGTCATCCCGCCACCAGGCAGACGACGAATGGAATTTGTCTCAATCGTCAGCATCTGCCGCGAATAAGAAAGCATTCAGACGCGCTGCCATTCAGCTTGCCTTTTGAAATGTATCCTCGAACCAGCCCCCAAGAACGGCGAAGCCCCAAACCTGTCATCGAATGTCTTGATGAAGAAGGTAGGATTCGGAGTGATAAGTGTGTACTACCCGATGCTGACTCCTCGGGAACGTACGCCGTCCAATGAGCACTGCCGGGGATGGCCTCCCTTCCTGGCCGCCTTGCGCAAGTGGCCGGCTGAGGTCAGCCAGCTGAAGCGCCTGCTGACATGTTTGTCTATTCGACAGGAGGTGGTTCGCACTCGAACGCGAACTTGCAGCTGTAGAAGGCTTTCTTGCTTGAAAAGGGGTGATGTCTGCATATCTATTGCGACTTGCTGGGTGCCAGGCAGGACTCAAAAGTTAGGAATAATTGTGGCCATTCGAGCTTGATTCGATCCAGTGCTGCGATTTGAATGGGTCATACACAGGTGATGCTAAGGAAGGATGTAGAATCGCAGTCGTTCAGTGTGCAAAAGAGCACAATGCTTGCTGAATATGAGGGTGTCGTCATATTACGGAGGCTTCACATAGGCCAAATGATGACCCGGCAGGAGGCTGATGTGCATGGCATGCCTTCTGTAATCGGGCCTCGGCGGAAGGTTGGCCTTAGACATCATGACGAGCAAAGATAAGTCCATCATTGGCATTACGTTCTCTCCTTCCAACCCAATTGTCAGCAAATCCTAGGCTGTCTACTGATTGGGATTGCCTCGCGAGGGAAAGTGCGATAAACTCACGTTTATTTCCCCCTCTCAGAAGTGAGGATTACTTCGGTTCGAAGAGCGTAGACGGAGGGCTTGGCTAGGGACATCGCCAATGGCGCCTCGACTTAATGAAGTCCGGTATTGTAGGGGAACACTGAGACGAAAATGTGTCGTCATGGGAAAGCCGTTCCTGACAGCCCAACGGTCTGCTCTCGATTTAATAGAGGAGCAGGTATTCCGTACTACATTAGAAACAGCCGTGGCAACTTCCACATGTTGAAGGCTACAAGGAGAAGGACCCGTCCACTCTCCTGGGACGGGAGGTAGGCAGGCACAGATACGGCCTTCCCTTTCCAGCGAGCTACATTTTGGCATGTCTTGCATATGAGGAAGGCCTCGGTGGGAAGTGAGCCCTTTCCTGGGATCACGCGGGCTGAGCTCGCTCAAAGCATGTTTGCGCTGAGCACCCGGAGAACTTGCACCCCTGCCTGCTATTCACAGATCCATGCATTTGGTGTCATGGGCGAGGACAAGGGATGTCGGAATGAGTTTTTCGCACGCATGTTGGGGTGGGCATGGATCGCTTGCCTTTAACAGCGTACGGGCGTGGGTGTGACGTCGCAGCGCTACCGGAACCATGGATGGACAACATTCACGCTAATAACTTAAATGCCTCGAGGGGGACCTCTTCTTCATACCACCGCGCAAGGCGATGGATACAATGAAAAGTGTGGTTGAAAATCAAAAATTGCCACAGCGATGGCCCCGAAGGACAATCGAGAAAGGTCTACTCCGCGATGTGCAATGCAGGCATCCCTCTCTGCGGTCCGGATTTCTTGATCCCCAGACCGCCCATGAAGGTAAGTATGAAGAAGAAAAAGAGGAAACAGAACAAAGGCGAGAGATTGGGTGGGATTATATAGGTGTCGGGAGGGCTGCAGAGTGGGGCCACGTTGGCCTCAATCACTCGGTGGGTCCTGGCCCGAGGCAGCCAATGATAATCGAGAAAGGGATATGATTTTTCCATTGGCCAGAAAATTGGGAAGCGGTACGTTCCTAAGTCTTGAGAGCCGACTTCTCACGTGACACTGTGAACGGTTTGGAACAAGACGGGCAGTCGCTGGGTTGGCACGTGGTTGGGTTATGATGTCCAAGACTCAGAGTCTCAGAGAAATGAGCAACGCCTCACAGCAACAGGCAGACGGTCAGCTGTCAGATTGTCCATCTGTGATTGATAAAAGCAGTCCTGTCGGCATTGTTCATGACTGTCCTCTCTCATCTCGTATTTCCCTCTCTAACTTGCTCATATTATTTGAACTGATACTCTAGAGACCGAAGATCCGTGTTAATAGAGGCTGTTAAGGATAGAGCATCAAAATGGCCCAATGAAGACTTTGAAATCAATTTGGAGATCATGCGCCTGCTCTACCCTACACCCACCCACCTTCCCCTGGGGAACCAAGTCTCCGAACCTCCAGCCAACCCTCCGTCTGGGACTCATCGGTTATTCGTTTTAGCAGCCTAGCAACATCGTGATGCCCATGCTGAGTGGCAATCCCCACCGCAGTCTGGCCGAACCGGTCTTGAACTTCCATAGACGCTCCTTTGCTGACCAGTAGCTCTACAATGTCGGGCTGGCTAAATGTAGAGGCGGCGTGGAAGAGCGGGGTGCGTTTGCTTTTGTCCGGAGATTCTACCTCGGCGCCACTATCCAGTAGTAACTTGATCAGCTCGATGCTCGCAATCCCCGAACTACATACCCGAGAGAGAGGACTTCGACCCGACCCGTCAGTCGTATCAAGACGTGCGCCCTTGCGAATGAGAACTTCTGCCATGCCGAGGCCTTTAGAGGTAGAACAGGCATATGAAAGAGGGGTGCGGCCATTGTGATCTTGGATTTCGACTTCCGCATCATTGGCCAACAGCAGTTCGATCAACCCAGTGCTTGCCACTTCTGCTTCGCAAGCCCAGGAAAGTGGGGTCCGACCCTTGGTGTCTCGAGCATGGACCGAAGCTTTCCTTTGGATCAAGAAGTCGGCCACCGCATACTGACCATGACGGCATGCCACACTGAGGGGAGTGAGATGCCCCTGGGTCGGAAAGTCGATGAGTGCGCCTTTGTCGCTTAGCAGCTGCAGGATACCGAGATCGCCACGCATCGCGGCAAAAGATAATGGCGAATGCCCTTTGGCGTCTATCGTATCAAGTCTCGTCTCAGGCCTTTCTTCGACCAGAAGCTTGACAATCGATGCTTGGTTTTCTCTTGCTGCGATTGCCAGCGGTGTCAATGCCTCCTCGTCTAACACGTTGATAGACGCGCCGTGCTTTAGTAAGAGACTGACGAGATCCAGTCGGCCTTGGGCTACCGCAAAAGCCAGGGGTGTTCGATGGTGATGAAAGTCACTTCGGGCATCAACATAGGCCCCGCCGAGAAGAAGAGTCTTGACAGTATCAAAGTGACCAAGCTTGGCGGCTGTAACCAGAGGAGTCTCGTCTGTCCCAAATCGACCGTGCCCCTCAATATACGCCCCATGCTCGAGGAGAGTGCCAGCACCGTGTTCCAGCAACTTTGCAACAGTCACCGGGTACCCGCCTCGGGCAGCAGCATGTAGTGGTGTCACTTCTGATGGCCTCGACGGGTTTGCGCCTAGCTCCAGTAAACATTCGACCGTCCCATGATGACCTCCGGCTGATGCATAATATAAAGGGGTCCGCCCTTGGGATTGTGGTGAGTCGATTGCATGCGCGCGGCTATGAAAGTGCCTAATCGCATCCGAGATCCCGTATAATGCTGCCAACTCTATGCCTGTCGATGGATAGTCACCAGGGACCATAAGACACAACCTCTGAAGGGTGTGGTCATCTTCAAAGAAGCTGATAACGTCGGATCGAAGTGGTGTCGCCTGTGCTGCGTGAAATCCCCACGCATAGACTGCATGCAGGAAAAAGGGGTATTGCCAGTGTAGTTGAGAGAGGGTCAGCCTCGCTTGTGTTGCAAAAGTAAGGTATTTGATACAGGTGCTAGTCATATATTCATGGCCCCCACGGAAGTATTGTTCTTGCCTCCTCTGAAAATATTCATAAGCTGTGTAGTGAACAAGAGTGATGATTCTTTCATTCTTCCCAGTGACGACTAGCCCAGCACATACGGAAAGCATCATATCTACGTCTGGGACGTTTTTGAGGTCGAGTTTCGAATCTTCGAGGTCCACCGCTAGAGCCTGCTGGAGCTCGACGGCTTCGAGTGGTCTGTTTGTGTGCGTGATCCAAGAAACGACCTTTTTAGCCAAATCTTTGTGAAGTTTCTTCTGGTTTTCGATTTTTGTCATTGTGGCATCATATGCCTTGTCATATAAATGATTCTCTGCGAGAGATCGATCCTGTCGAAACTTTTCCAGCGCAGAAAGTATCTTGCGTTCAGAAGTTGCGCCTTGAAGATAACCTACATAAAGCTTAGCAAGTAGAAACCTGTTAGAGATTAGTGAGGAATCGATACAAGGTGGATAACTACACCATAGCAGCAGCTCACATTCCACTTGCAGAAATTGCGACTCGATCCGTGATTTGACTTTCGAGACCAGGTGCGTTGTCAACAAGATCCTGTATTTCAGTGAGGTTATTTCGTGTGTAGCGACGAATGTCTTCTTCGTGGGCTTCAATATCCACGCGAATGTGATTGAAGAGATCTTTCTCGATTCAGGGGAGAGGCCTTGAGGTTACCAATATGTTAATCCTGACCATGGTCTTTGTCTCCAAGCTGGATAGGATTTGTAGGAGGCGCGACTGGCAGCTTCTCGGCTGGCACTCATCAAGTGCCTCAACAATTATAAAGACCCTCTTGAAAGCTCTGGAGATTCTCTTCAACTCTTGGCGTAGCTCATCGGGCAATGGTCTAGCATCGAGACCCTGGATGGCGTACTTTTGATGTAAGTCTCTCAGACTTTTTGGCCATCGGCGCGGTGGTACCCTAGTGAGCAGTTGCTTCAAGAGACTGGAGAGCAAGGTCTCAAACGTCTGGCTGTTTCGCGTCCTGGATTTGCAATAGAGAAATGCGATTCCGACTCCGTCGTCGGCAGTGAACTTAGTGAAGAGATGATCAATCACGACAGAAGTGAGAACGGTTTTCCCGGCCCCGGGAATCCCTGGACAGAACAAGGTTGTACCCATTGAGCTGAGCCAGCCTTGATACTCTTCCGACTTGAGAAACCACTCAACCGTGCCTTCCTGTCTTCTGCGAAGAGCATCGCTTTGTTGGAATCCGTACTGGGCACGACTGATCCAGTCAAGCAATTTCTGGTCCTTGGCACGCCTCTCTGACTGAATAACCTTCTCATTTATGGCAGATGTCATTTGGCGGACTGATATGAATCAGCTTGAATTCAGAAAAAAGGTACAGGAGGCGCACGACTCAGACTAACTCTTCTGGAGCTCCCTTCGGACACCTGGCAACTGTTCTAAAGCCGTGGGCGCTTGGCTGACATTCTCAGGCGTTACATACTCCAATAGTTCCTTTGCAAATGCAGCGGTAGAAGCAGCGGCATACTTCTGCCATATGTCGTTCTTGTGAGAATCCGCATAATCGCAAATGCCCCGAATCACGAGACAGGGAAAGTTGTTGACGAGGCCAGCCGCCTCCATCCCAACACAGAGGACATCAGCCCCAAGGTCCTCTTTGAGTTGATCCCGTTTGATCGCATCCTTGATAACACGATTGCCCGACGCGATAAGCCCGTAATGGACTTGCACCCCCCTAGGTTCCCTGATCCTGAGCATGTCCCGGTCACAATTGGCACAGCCTTCCTCATTCTCCTTCTCTCCCACCTTTTCAGCTTTCAAACTGGTTCCGCTATCACCTTTTCCATCGCCATTGGCTTTGCCTTCAGCTGTTCTTCTGACGCCCTTAGCGTGGGGATATTCTGTTTTAAATAGTCGGTCTTCAAGTTTGTCGGATTTGCCGTGTTGTTCCTTGAGGTTTGGGTACCTCTTGACCATCTCTTCCAAATACTCGGCAACTTTGGAGCCCCGAAGTTCATGTCGGCTGTCGAGCTTCTGCAAGGCCGTGCTTAGAAGCATTGGAGGGTTATTCAAAGCACCTTTCCTCTTGAAGGTGCCCCCTTCTTCATCTTTACCAAGGTCCCACTGTACAACCCCGGGAAACTTGTCTGTCGGACTGCCCACGACGATATCGCCAAGTCTGACTTTGGGAGGTATACCTCCCCCGATGCCTACCATAAGTCCAAACTTGATAGCCGGGAAAGTCGCGAGCATTCGAGTGGCCACAGTCGCCGCAGGCACGACACCGTACATGCCTTTTGGTAGACAGGCAATGACGATGTTGTGGCCCCATAATGAGCCGAGAGTGTAAGTATTGTAGTCGTTATTTGCCTGGGGAAGGTTGGGATGTTCTTTGTCCAACATTGCTATTGCTGCGGTCTGCTCCTTTGCCAGCGCGCAGATCCATCCTACTGTGTATTGATCATGACGGTAGGTCGCGGGTAGGCTTCTGTCGGATAGTCCACAGCTTTCGTTCTTCGTCCTCGCCCGTCCAACATTCGATACATCTGTCATCGTGCCAAACGTGAACTGCGTTTAGTAACTGATTGTAGATGACTGATCAATTCTTTTTCGAAGGTTTATGAGGTCGCCACAGCCTCGATAGGCTCTCATGGAATCGTGTTTGATCAAAGAGAAGCGAAGTTGAGGGAAAAAGAACTCTGAATTTATGGCATGGGATGACGAAAACCAGCACTTGAGACCCCTTACCAAGGACATCAAGAGAGTGAGGCGAGACGGCGGAGCTTGTTTCCTCTGGCGCCTTGCAGCCTTATATACAGACGCGAATGGGTCGCGTCTACCCATCATGTGAGCTGAGCCAGGGCGTCTAGGCTCACCGAGAGCCTGCATAAGCCACTTTTTTCTCGGCGAGTTGGGCGAAATCGAGCGGCAAGACGCTCTAGTTGCAATTGTCACTCGTGGAATTTGTGCCCGCCACCCGCGCAGATGATGAGATGACTCTTTGAGTCTTCAGCACTCTATAGCTCTCAATGGCGATTGCACGGTCGTCTGGCGCGTGACATCATAACCTTCTTCCTGTTGACTTGTTGGCTGTCTTCTTTCCAGATTCTTGTGGGAGCCCCTGTCGATTCGATTGGCTCTTGAAAGGGCCTTGGAATGAGGCGTCAGTATCCGTAAGGTAGAATGAACCGTTGTTCAGGTGCTGGATTACTGAGTACGACCGTAGAATGCCAATAATCATTATCGCATAAAGGTCACTAGCGCGAACAACTTTTGTTACACGGTTTAATTCCCCGATTGAAGATTCTGAGCTTGGTGGCTTCATCGGTGATATGACCGCCGTTGATGGAAGTTCAGGCTTGCTATCGCTTGTGACCAGTGGGCGATGTTTGACACTGCATCATAACGCCAAGACGGAGCTCGCTGCCCAGATTTGACTGACTAATCAACATGTGTAATGGGACTAATGAGCATGCATCCTCTGAAGACGTTCAACGACAAGTTACATCTCTCAATCTCATGCCATCTGTGACATTCATCTTTCCCCCGGGAATGAGAAAATATCACAATGGACCCCAAGGTCTCGGAGTTGCCAAGGGCCGCCTCCAACGATGCCATGCTATCCGAGCTAACCCCACATCCAGCGACTGACAAACCCCCAGACAAACCGCGGCAGAAGACCGCCAGCAGTAGGCGACAGAAGACTTTCACGGGCTGCTGGACATGTCGCGAACGTCACGTCAAATGTGACGAACAGCGACCGGCGTGCCGACGCTGCGTTGCTGGCAAGTTCGCATGTCAGGGATACGGTACGCGACTGACGTGGCTCTCGCCCACGGGACAAGGAACACCAAAGAGTGGTGGCCGGCGCCGGTCGCGGACGAAGGCCAGCCCTTCGTCCCAGAACTTAACACAATTTCCGAGTCAAGAGACATCTCCAGCTGTCGATGTTCAACAGACCGGCCCGTTTCCGGCTTTCCGGTCTTGCGAGTCGCGCCTTGGGGCAGATTACTTGGGGCAAGCTGGCGGAAGCCCTGTGGCGATGGAACAACTGTCTCGAGATGTTCGATCATACGGACTAGTAACGGGAATTCCTCAGGAAAGATATGCTATTCAGTGTGAGTCATTCGGCGCTTCCAATCAATGGGGCACAATGCTCATGGGCAGCCCGACAAGGCCATTGGAAGCATTATCAACTCATGCTAGAGAACGAGAACTCATCAGCCACTGGGCGACGAACCTCGCCCACAAGCTGATACCGATCCGCAGTCCAGCAAATCCATTCCTAACCGTCGTATCGCCCATGGCCCTCGAGGGAAGCCGCCTCGCCAACACGAGATCGACCTCGACCGTCGCCCTCTTCCACGCCGTCTGCGCCATCTCCGCAGCCCACCAGGCGAACCTCAGAGGCACCCACTCACACAGCGGCTACAATGATCTGATGCTCCGTCACAAACAGCTGAGCTTCCACCACCTCATACAAAACATGAACCGCAGAGACCACGACGAGCGAATGGCGAGCTTGGCCACCCTCTGCCTATGGATCCTCACTCACTTCATCACCGGGACCGCGGGCGCCTGGCGCGAGGTCATTAAGGTGACCCGCGACCTCCTCGATGATACGAGTATGGAGACGTGGAGACAGTCAAATACCGCTGCGTTAACGTATGAGTCCTTCTCCTCCACCTTTGCCACAGTCCTTGCCCAGTACCTTGGACGACTTGACGCTCCCGTCCCGCTGAAGACATATCTACCAGATGTAGAGCTATCAAAGAGCCAGATCATGCCGGTTCGAACCCTCGAAGTGGTCTCTTCCTTCAACGCGAAGCTTTTGCAGACGACCACTCTTGCAGAGGAGGACCTCGACCAGCTGGAACTCGAATTCGCCCTGTCTACACCCGAGCCATCCGTGGACTACGACACCGGCAATGCGGACTCGGCTATGGTACACCACCACCGGTCACTATTTTACTATGCATGCCTGCTTTATTTCAAGGGTAACTCTGGGAGGCGAGGCCCAGAAGAGGGCATCCAAGATCTGGTTGCCAGGTGTCTCGACCACATGGAGCATCTCGAGTCTCTGCAGAAAAACAGCAGCCCCAAAGCGTGGATTTACGCTGCAGTGGCTTTCGAGGCCCGCACACCGGATTTGCGAGATAGGATGAGATCTCTATTCTTTAGACGAAAGCCGCTCGGGATCGCCACCTGGGATACGTTGTCACTCGCGGTCGAGGAGATCTGGAAACGCCGCGACTTGGCCGTCCCCGGTTTGGCACCAGAGCCTTGGACGCGAGTTCTTTCACAGATGCCAGAGCTTGACGTGATACTGTATTGAGGCGATTCTCTATTGAGGCCATCTACATCTTTCATTTGTCTCTGAGAAACACTTGATAGGTAAACCCCTAAACAACAACCTCAGGATCCTTCTCGACCTCAGCCAGCAACTCGCTTGGCCCCCTGAACTTGATACCAGAAAAATACTTCTCGCGATGAGCGGCAACCTTATCAACAGGCAGGTCCCCAGCATGACTGGCCGAGAAGATGCCGTACTCCGCAATAATCCGCTCCTCGCCATTCGGATCCGGGTTGGCAACGATATCCTCAATGTACTCAGCCAGGCTGCGATACTTCACACTCATCTGCGGATACTTCTCCTTCATCAACGGCACCACATCGTTCCAGGTCGCCTTGCCTCCCGAAACATACGTGGACCGCTCCCAGCTCTGCGCAAAGAGGAGCTTTCCCACCGCACGAACCACGTCCCGGACGGCAGTCATATCCAAGGGCTCGTTGCCGGTTCCAGGGATCAGCATGCTTTCACCCGTAACGTTGACGGGAATGGCGTCCCCGCCGTCTTTGAGGTAGCGGTCCTGACGCGGGACGACATAGTCAATGAACCACCCAGTCGAAAGCAGCGTCCACTCCAGCCCCGTCTGCTCCTCCAGCATCTTCCGGACAACCCCCTGCCGACGGGCGTAGAAGCCCGGCTGGTCGGGGAACTCCTCCAGGTTACCGCCGTACTCGGCAGGGATGAAGCGCTTGCATGTCTTGCTACTTCTCGCGGCCTCGATGAGGCGCGCGTGGACGTCGATAAAGGCCGGGGAGTAGTCGAGGATATTGGACACCAGGGCGACAGAGCCTTCGATGCCCTCGAGGATCGAGGCGACAGAGTAGTCCGTCACGAACTGCCGGACGCCCTGGATGTTCTCGATCTCGGGCTTGATGGAGCGGGTAAGGATGACGAGGTCGATGCCTATTGCAGGGAGTTCTTCTGCGAAGTAGCGGGTTACGGCACCCGAACCAGCGACGGCGACACGCATTTTGGATTTGGGGGTTGGTGGGTGGTTGAGGAGGGAGACAGTGTTAGTTGAAAGAAAGAGGAAGACAATGATGTAGCTGTACGATTGTGAAGCTGTAAGACTGTTGATGCTTTACATATTTTGGTCATGACGAATGCTAAAGCCGTCTTCTTATACTTGCTCCAGCCTGCCACCAGGGAGTTGAGTTGCCAGACGAGGCAGATCCATCGATCAGCCTCCGGGATCATCGACGAGAGCCTGCGGTCCTAGAACTTACATAATCTTCCGCGTTTATAAGCAGAATGATTGTCAAGCTAAAGCCAAATCATCAATGTAGACAACGAAGCCGACGATGTCGTGGACAGCCCGTGTTAGTCTGCGGATCACTTCCCAATTGGGCAGTTCCCAGCGAGCTTACTCTTGGCGTCAAAACCGCTGATTAAGCTGGCCCAACGACCAAAACCGAGCAACACCAGATAGGCAGCAAAACCCCCCAAAAAGTGACACGGCTCGATATTACATGCACGGTAGACTCAGCGTGTGATAGCGTGTGATCAAGGCATGGGGTATTCCTTTCGATTGTTCTCCGCCAACAAAACTGTTTCCCTCGAAGGTCTGGTATATATACAATGCGGACCAGAATGATAAAGCAGAGCCAAAAACAAAACTTGTTGCAATTTCCTTCTCCTGAGTGACTCGAACCAGAGTCATACTCCCGTCCAAGAACCTGATATCTGCAAAATGAACCCCAAAACGCCATACCAGGGCAATGCCTCGCTCACAGTACAAGCATCAAGCCATGCCATGATCCTAACCCTGAATGCCCTCCCAAGTAAGTTGGTCAGTGATGTCCCTGACACTCAATCCGGTGATACTGAAGACAGTCACGTCGAGCTCTTCATCCGTCATATCCTGTCCAACTTGTTTCTGTCCTTCGAGCACATCGTAAAGTGCGTATATTTGGCCGTTCTTGACCTCCTGCGCGTTCATATTGGCGTCAATGTTTGTCTTGAGCTGCTTGCGCTTCGTCTCCGCTAGAGCAGGGTTGTGATTATCGTATCGAGCCTGCATCTTGGCATGCTCCATCTTCATGTGCTCTAGCTCATCCTCGAGACCCTTGATGACCTTAGCCAAAGCATGTCCAGGAGGCTGAGAAGGACGCATTGTGAGGTCTTCCGCGGCACTGCCCAGCGTCTTATACTGGTCTGAGGGAGCAACAGGTCTGGAGATCTTCACTCGCTTCTTTCCCTCTGCAATGTCGGCAGCAGTGACCGTTCCACGATGAGCCTTGATCCGAGTGCACACAATGCAGTTCTTACAGCTGTGTCCGGCCAAGCTATCCAGGACACGGCGAGCATCGGAGGTCAGGGCGGGACAGTTGCCCTTGACGTCAGTGGTCGAGGTGTGGTCCAGCCCGCCCTGGGTAATCAAATCGACGGTGATGGACTTGTCCTTCGAAGGCTTTGTGGCAGACTTGGATGACTTCTGGCTTTGGCTAGTCAAGTTCCGGGTGGTGTTCGTTGTTTCTTGGTGAACAGTGCGAGACTCCTTCTTGCTCTTCGTCTTCAGGTCGATCACCATGGAGTGAGTCTGGGTCTGGGTGTGCTCGGGTGATTGCATGTTGCCCTCGTCATCGGCTTGGAACGGATCGAGATCGGGGAGAGAAGCCCCCTTGAAGGAGCTCTTGGGAGTGGATTGGGCAGAGATGCTCCTCTTGCTACCCTTGTTCGCAGTGTTGGAGGCCTTACTGCTCTTTTCCTTCGTGCTCTTGGACTTGGAACTCGCTGCCAGGCGCTCGGGCAGAGAGAAGGACACCTTCTGCTGACTGGTCGAGTCCTGCGCGCGGTGGGTGGAGTCTCGTCTCTTGGACCGGGCCTCAGCTGCGACAGAACTCTGTTGACTCTGGACAGTGTTGTCGGTCTCATTTACACTGCGATCTGTCTGCTCTGTGATGTCCTGAATCTTGGCAGCCTTCCTGCCTGGTGTCGCTTGCCTCCGGATCTTCTTCGGTTCTGGAGTAAAATCAAGGACCCTCGAATTCTGTGTGCTGTCAATCGTAATGTCCGGCATGAAGAACGCCGAAGTCATGTTCTCCTCAGTCTCCTCGTCGTCAACTTCCTTATCCAGACGCACGGAAAAGTCATCCGTCTTCCCGAGAGGGCGGCAGTGGTCGAGCTGCTGCTTGAGGAACTCAATCTCCTCCTTCAACTGCATGTTTTCGTCGTGAAGGTCGTGAATGCTGCGCTCGAAACCCGAGTTTTCGCGGCGAAGTATCTTGTTCTCGTTGAAGTATTTCTCGTTGTGTCGAACGAGGCTATCGTTGTCCTCCTTGAGAGTGGACTTCTCTTGATCCATGGTGTGAAGCTCAACCTGCAAGGCCTCGACTTCATCACGAGCTGCCTCGAGATCCTCCTTGGCGTTGGTCGTGGTTTGACGAAGTTCTTCATTCTCAGACATGAGCGATCGCGCATTGGCCCTCAAAGATCTGTTCTCGCTGATGAGAGAGTCTTGCTCGCGCCTTAGAGAGTTGTTGTCGGTTCGCAGAGACTCCATTTCTTGCTGCAGAGTTTCCTGTTCCTTGCGAAGGGTATGGTTATCTTCCTCAAGAGCCTTGTTGTCGGCGGAGCGGACCTCGTGGCCTTGCTTCTCCTGACGGAACACCTCTTGCTGGTTGGTAAACTCCAGAGTGGCGTTGAGCTTATCTTGGGTCTCGTGGAGTTCTCTTCCCTTGATCTCGAGTTGATCCATGAGATCGCCGATTTGCATACAGGCGTCTGAAAGCTTCTTCAAAGCCCGGTCTCGCTCCAAAGACAAGGTGTTATTTTCGACCTCGTTAATGCCGAGCCGGGTGCTTGCCTGGTCCAAGCGTGCTTGCAAAGATGTCATCTGCGACTCCAACTCTGTTACTGGTTAGATGGTACTTCAACGAGGAGTATCAAGATACTTACTCAGCTTCTGTGTCTGGTAGCGCTCCTCGCCAGCTGTCTCGGGCTCTGAGCCTGTCCGGGATCCGAGGGCACTATCGATAGACTTGCGGCCCTTGATGCGCTTCAATTCGGTCTGGAGATGGTCCACCTGATTCTCGAGTTCCACCGCATGCTGCTGAACCAGATCATCGTGCTCCTGAAGGTTGCAAATCTCGTTCCGGATCATATCCATCGACACGAAAATCTTCTCTTCATCTTCGGGAATCGCAAGGCCGTCAACCTCGGCATGATCGTTGGGCGGCAAGGTATCAATGCGGTCCCGCACTTGCCCGTTCTTCACAAAGACGGGGACACCATTCTTCACTGCACCGTTGAAGCGCAAGTTGCCGGAAATGAAGTCGTTAAGGTGAGAGATATCGGGCATGAAGAAAGAGCGGGACGTGGCGCCATTCTGTGCCGGGCTATCGGTAGTGGCCGGTGAAGGGAACGTGCTTCGGATCGTGTTGAATGTGACTGGGGTAGACTTGTTCGTAGGAACGTTGTCGGCTGGGGTATGCTTCGGCGTGGCTTGTGTGGGGGGAGCCAGGAAGTCTGACTTTCGTCGGTCTGTGTTGGCGGCGTAGGAAGATCGTCGTGCTGACTTGTGGTTGCCAGATGCTGATCGAGTGTGGCCTCTTGCCAAGGGACTACGGTTCATCTGCTGTTGAGGGTTGAACTTGAAGCTATCGGCATTGATATCGAATCGGAAAGGTGACTTGGACATGTTGGCTGACATGTCAGACTCGTTGTCCTCGACGCGGGGCTGCATTTCAGCACGCGTCCGCTTAGAACCCTGCCAAGTCATGTCCGTCGAGTCATCGTCGTCCATGTTGGACAGATACTTCTGGACGATAGCCTTGTGGGAAACGGTGTCCTTGTGACGCAATGAGCCCGTGGGCTTGGGAGCGGGGCGGTTCTGTTTTGCTTCGACGTTGGCCTTGGGCTTGCCATAGAATTCGGGCCACTTGCTGTGGGCAGCATCCAAGTCGACTTGAATCTTCCCACCGGTAGGACCGATGATGCGAGCAATGTCTTCGTTGAGCCTGCGAGTGGATTCTCCGTCGGGTTCTGAGAAGACGGAGGACATGGTTGGGCTGACGGTGCCGTGGGAGCCCGTCGAGGAAGGCGGGGAGTTGAATGGATTGTCGCGGTTTGCGTTCATTTCCCGCAGAATGCGAGAGCGGTAGCGGTTGTGTACTGAGTCGGCCTCCATGACTGCCCTGGGACGCGTCGGGCGCGGTTTCCGGGACGGGAGTCGAAAAGAAAAAGTAGATTCACGATGGCGCCGCAATGGCTGGAGGCGACGCGTCGAATAGCCAATGTCGTGGGGACGATTAGATGGTAAGACTGAATAGAAGCAATACCGAGCAAGAGAAAGCTGCTCAAGGCATAGAAGCGCGCACAATGGCTAGACGAAAGACAGAAGAAGCTGTGATGTATGATGAAGTTCACAACCGCAGTAAGTGATGGAGAAGGAAGAAGCGTGGAGGTGCAGGGATCGGTTTGTTTACTTTCGGAGCTGCAGGCGTAAACAATTAGCGATTGGCCGTGGGCGTCAGTGCATGTTAGTGGGGCAGCCCTGCCTCCCCGGCCCAGCTCAGTGCCCTTGCTCGGCGAATCATCACTAACAAGTAACCAGCCTCTAGCCCTCTGCAGATGGAAACGCGTGCTGGTTGGCCTGCGCGGAACAAAGAAACGCGCTCTTTTGTCCGCACGAGACGGGGTTAGAAAATCGTGAAGCCCAAATCACAGATGGTTTTAATACATTTTTTTGTCTTTACGCCGAGGGTTTGGCATACGTATAATTTCAGTTACAAATAAGCATCATACCGAACTCGTGCTGAATATAACCGGGACTGCCAGGCAATTAATTAAGGCAGGACACTCGGTTATTTTTTGTCCATGTCATTCATTACGTCAGCCATCAATGACTTTGCCAAGGGGAAGAGACACTTCCGCTTCCACTCACCGAGCGGCAAGCAGTCGTCGCTGCCCTTCACCTGGATTACCGTAGGTATGGATAAGTAATAGTACCTAGGTAAGATGGTAAGGCACGTGGTAGGTACCTTGCCTAGAGTTTCCACTAATCGTGCTGCTGAATAAGGCACTAGCATGAGGAACGGGAAGACCCTTCCTTGACTTCTACCGCTCACACCAAATGTGATTTAGTAGGTTGGCGCAAGGTGGTTGAGACAGATTCTTGCACGGTCGAGCACATCTCAACGCATCTCCAACAAACCGACTCAGTCCGTTTCACCCTAGCGATGCATTCCCCGACTCGCCCAAGCACTCACGGCACTCTTCAACGGCCCTCGTCTTCCATTCCTACCTCAACGTCAAGTCCCATGACCCGAGACATTTCATCTGTATCTTACCTAGGTACTTACTTTAGTCAGGGAGACGTTGTTTCGATGTTGAAGAGTCTCTATAACCGCCTATATCTGCTTGGGATATGACTGCTCTTGGTCCTGTCCGTGAGCACAAGACGCGAGTCACCAGGTCCACCGACTTGGTCGCCAGATATCGGCAGGTGATCACGCCGACTGTGGGCGGTGCCGTGCCATCGTGGGCGTCGGTTTGGCTTCCTTACACCGCCGAAGAGGCTGGGAATCGTGGAACGGTTCATGCACAGCTAGTCTTGTGCATGGTACGTATTGCTTCGTAGGGAAGCCATACCTATCCTTCTATTCATCTAGTGGGTAGAATGTTCTTTGGACACATGGCTATCACTGCGACAGAGACACAGAGGCAAGGTACACCATATTGATTGCTGCAAGTCTTCTTCATCGGGTAGCCGTACTTGATCGGCAAAGGAAATGCACCGATTCTCTCCCCTCATTGTCCAGGGCAGTGAGGGCAGTGACAGACTGACAGGACAGAGCGCAGGGTCTTGGCGCCGCCAAAATGCCCCGCATGAACTTGTTCTAGTGGCCGCCACCTTTCCGAGGGATGGTGAACGTCGGGTGGATAGTGGGAGGAGGGGAGGTGACCACCACGCACCGCTTGCACCACCCACTTCTGTCAGTTCTGTGACCTCTCGGTGCGCCATTCTGCGACCACTAGAGTCTTGAGGGGACTTTGAGGGGTCCATCTGCCTCGTGCAGGTGGATCTTTTTTTTCTCCAAGGTTTTCCTGCGAAAACGGGCTTGGCTTAGCCCTCGACTCTGGGCCGTCCATCGCCAAAGAGCCCTGCGCCATCGCTCGCTTCCTTCCCGCAGTTCGCCCGGCCGCCGTTTGTCTTGCTCTTCCCCAGCTTTTCCACTGGCTTCCCGTATTGCTGCTTGCATCGCATCGTCCCTTCGCATCTTCCCTCGTCGCGTGCCCTCTCTCTACAAGTTCGCCTATTCATTGTGCATATTATCATCATTGAATTCCCGCCTCGGCGATTGCGAAGTCCTTCTGAACATGGCAGAGCGCTTCTATACATGAGCGGCCTTTTCTAGAGCTGATTGCTCGGCATCATCAACCCAGCTGTCTTATCCTTGTATTTTGATACCAATTCTTCCATCATGGTTCGATTAATCCTCCGACTACCCGAGGCTTGCCTCTCGGGGCTTGCGCTTGCTACGTGCGCAATAGCCCTCGTTGCGACTCCTCCGAATGCGCCCAAGACGCCTTGCCCCATCTTCTATGCCGAAACCCAGCTTCCGACCGATTGCGAACCGAAACAGCCCACGACCTTTCTAGAAACCCCACAGGTTGAAAGGAAAGCTACTGCTTATACGGCCAAGGCCAAAGACGAGCCACTCGAGGCCACCTTTGAAGCTCTAACTGTAATGCAACATGGCTTCTTCGTATCGGATCAGGGAACATGGCCCGAAGCCATCGACTGGACTGCGGCCGTCATGGAAACAATGCTGTCGGGCTCGTTGACCTCGCTTTCGCAAGCATTGGCTGTCCTCGATATTGGGGGCAGCGGTGATAAAGGAGCCAAAAGAAACCTCATTGATACCTTCTTCACTCAACTAGTGGCCTCATATTTTGGCCAGGACGACGTTGCGATCCGCCATCAGGTGTGTCTACGGCCCCCTCAGCATTTGCCCCAAGCAGCGCATGCTGACAAGTACAAAGGCTTTTGACGACATTCTTTGGGTTGTCCTCGGTTGGATCGACGCCATTAAGTTTATTGACATACATTCAGAGCTTTTCTATCACCGGGAAGGCCTCAACGAGAGCGCAACCCCGGGCCTGGGAGATGCTTTAGCAAATGGGCCCTGGCATGGGCAATATTGGATACCCTCGTTTGCTCACCGAGCTAGAATCTTCTGGGACCTTGGATCCAAGGGGTGGGATACACGACTCTGCGACGGCGGTATGAACTGGAACCCAAGATTGGAGCCCTACAAAAACGCCATCACAAACGAACTCTGGATTGCGGCCTCGATCTCAATGTACCTCTGGTTCCCTGGTGATAACAACACCACGCCATGGATCAACCGCGCCAGTGGTGTAGAGGCCACGCGAGAGCCCAAGTACCTCGCCGCTGCCATTGAAGGCTACAGATGGCTCACTGGCGTCAACATGACCAACCATGCCGGTCTCTATGTTGATGGCTATCACGTTGATAGGTCCAAACCGGGCAACACCAAGTGTGATCAACGCAGTGAAGCTGTCTTCACCTATAACCAGGGGGTGCTCTTGACTGGCCAAAGAGGCCTATTTGCCGCCACAGGCAGTGCTTCTTACTTGGAAGATGGGCATAGGCTGATCCAAAACGTCATCAAGGCCTCCGGCTGGGATTTGAGGCTCAACCAGCCAGTTGATGACCTGTCAGAGCTCCCTCCGGGCTACTTGCCTCCCTGGCGAGGCCTGGGCCGAGGAGGCGTCATGGAAGAAACCTGCGACGCTAGCGCGACTTGCTCCCAGGACGGGCAAACCTTCAAGGGCATCTTCTTCCATCACTTTGTAACATTTTGCCAACCACTCGACGCCGCCATTGTTGAGCGCGGCATGACTGTCAACGCAAAAGCGTACGACCAGGTCAAGACGACCCACGCATCGGCCTGCCAGGCCTATCTGAAATGGGTTGAGCACAATGCCAAAGCGGCCTTGTTGACTAAGGACAGGGAAGGTCGGTTCGGTACGTGGTGGGGAGCAGGCATTTTCCTGAAAACCGCGCCGACAATGCAGACGGACGGTATTCCACACGGCGCACCCAACGTGACCGATTACCGTAACTACGGGTTGCCAGATAACGGTGTTTGGGCCCATGGGAAACCGGACAAGGTATGGGCTCCAAATGGCGAGGCGCTCAGGAACCAGAAAAAGAGCTACGTCCTGGTCAGTGACGAGGAACACTCCGGACAGCAGGTTCTGGGGGGTTCTGGTCGACAGGTATCTCACGGAGTGGACGATGACGGATCCGAACGGTATGTGAAGACGACGGCAGCAACCGGTGATCCGAACGACCGCGGCCGGGGTAGGACTCCGGAGACGCAGAACGGCGGAATGGCTTTGATGCGGGCCTGGTGGGAGCTCGTAGCGGCGTCCAATGGAACGTACGACCCATAGCGGCAGACGAGACGACGATGAAGATATGCATCATGTGAATTTGGCTACCTATCTAGCTATTTGCCTTTTTTTGGCCTACGAGTATAGACGAAGAAGTCCTTCCCTGTATTTACGCACGCATGGCATAGCCGCCGGCCGGTTGCGCCGGCCTTCCTTTGGGATACTACTGCTTGTTCTTCTCACCTCTCCGCATTCGCATATCGTGGTCGAGGGTGCTTTTTGCTCTACCGGAGACACCGTGCTCGATGAAGCACCATTCATCCTACCCCACTAACTTACTTTCCAGGATGTCTTACCACCCGCGGGACGCTATCAAGACTACGACTGCTGCGCCGTACCTGACCACGCTAAGATCGTACCAACCCAGCCATCATTGGTCGCTTAGCCGACTGCGAACGATGCTGACATGCTTACATCCCCCCCTCTCGTCACGCAGCAGCTCCATTGCGTGGCTGCTCAGCCATCCATCTAGGGGGCCTGGGAGTTGAAGGAGTGCAGGAGGCTAACTAACACCCTCGCACCTTTGATCGAAAGAGGCCCGGGGTTCGCCAGGGCCGCTTCGAGTGGTTGACTTGGGCGGATCCGGCAGGACGGTGCCGGGACTGCTCCACATGGCTGCCGTGGCTTGGCAGGAGATTCGCTGCTGGTCGTTACGCCAGAACGCCATGCGCCTCCTGGGCTCTGGGGAACGCTTTCGAATCGGTTTCCCAATGGGGGAAGAAGCTTGGAGGGCGCCGATATGGGCTTGTTGGAATCGAGATGGGAATGATGGGTGGTAGTCTCCCCTCTTCGTTGTTATTGTGCGTGGAGGGAACACGATATAAAGACTGGGAGAGTTCCCGATGGTTTGGAGTTTGGTATTTGGAAGAGCATCGAAAGCGCATCACCAAGCATCATCATCAAGCATCGAACAGCAAACTTCAAGGCTCTTTTTTTTCTCAGATAGACCAACACAGATACATTATTGAAGCATTTCACCACATCCCAGCAACAATCCATCAGTCCAACAACCATAACCTACAGCAAGCTCCATCAACAAGCTTTCCAGCCTCCTCCACTTCAACAGCAAAGCAACACATTACCTCACACAATGGGTCTCATCACCGGCCTCGTCTCAACCGTAGTCCACGCCGCCGCCGGCCGGAACCCCTACAGCCACAACCACAACCACAACAACCAATCCCCCGTCATAACCCCCGGCGCGGCCCCCGGTGCCCCCGGTTCAGCCGTCACCGGTCCCCACGAAGGCCACAACCACACCGGGCCCGATGGCCAGCCCTGCGGCATTTGCAAAGTCGCCCTCCCCTTCGGCAAAGGCCGCGAGGCCAAGCGCGAGCGCAGGGCCGCGAGAGACGAGCGGAAAGCCGTCATCTACGCGATGAGGGCGCAGCAGCGCGGTGGGAGGAGGGAGCGGTACGGGTATGATACTGCTGGGTTTATGGGTGTTGCTGCTGGGCCTTATCAACAGCAGCAGCAGCAGGGGTGCTTCAACAGCGGCAACGACAGCAACAACATGCCCCGCGCCGGACCGTCTTCTGCTCAGGAGGAGGGCGTTGGGGAGAGGAGGCGGGCTTCGACGGGGGATGATGTGCCGCCGCCTGCATACTCTGCTGCTGGACCTTCGTCTTTTAGTGTTAGTAATGAGGCGAGTCGGAGTGTGGAGGTTTTGGGAAATGGTGATGAGAAGCAGGGCCAGAAGGCTTGAATGCCTAGGACGATTTCCTTTGTGCAATGAGTAGAGCGAGCGTGGCGTTAGGATACCTTTAGACAGCCTGGATATCATCTTTTCTGATTCGAAATCACCCTTTTTATTTGACTCTTGGTCTTTGTCTAATTCACAGATGCTCAGATGCTGTCGTGACGAATGCTGATGTACAATTGGGGCTTTCACTTTCCTCCATACCCCATCTTAGCCCCCTTAACTTTTGTGCCAAGACCTAGAACCTTTACCCTGGCATGGCATTGCATGACCTGGCAAGCAGCCTCATGACGTTTGCCCGTTGGCTTGCCTCTCACCCACACTTCTGCGGATGGTCATGCTCTGTTCTTTGAGAAAATGCAGTACTCCTACGAGACAACATTTACCGCTGACCGGAGAGACGACGGCTCTGGACCTCGCCGAGGGCCTTGGTGCCGCTCAGGAAGATGGAGGTCGCGACGATGGCGACGGCAGGCAGGGTCTGGAAGAGGGTCCAGGCGCTGTAGTACATGAAGAAGACGCCCTCCATGGCGACGATGGATCCGAAGAAGGCGACGTGGGAGAGAGGCGCAGCGCCGAGGGCCTTTTGGATGTGGTTGACGTTGGCACCGAGAGTGAGCCACTACAGGATGGGATGTCAGTCAATGTTACATGTTAATGTTACAGGACACACTGTTCCTTTCCAATGGGAAACAGAAACATGCCAGGGACGAGAACTTACGCCAATGAGGAGAACGGGAATCGTGGCCAGAACGGCAATGACAAAGGCCAGCGAGATGATCTTGGGAGGGCTGCGGGGGTCCTCGCGGAAGATGTGGCTGATCTCGGGCTGCTTGCCGTAGCGGAGGGGAGCGTCGTAGGTCGGGGCGGCGGCGCTTGCGTCGCGGGTCACGGAGACGTCGAAAAGGGTGGTTTCGAGGGCCTTGGCGGCGCCGAAGGAGCCGATGACGATGCTGGCCTTGAGGGGCTCGTTGGCGAGGAGGAGCTGGACGGGCAGGTCCTTCTGGGCCTGTTGTAGTTCACGAGAATTAGCCTTGTTGCTTTGCCATTGAGGATTTAGAGGAGAATGGGGAACTGGGAACGTACAATGTCGACGACGCCGCGGCCGGTGTCCTTGAGCTCAAGGGGGAAGGGGGCCTCAAGGCCAGACTCGGTCTCCTTGAGGATCAGGAAGGCCTGGTGCGGGCGCTTGGCCTTGTCGCCCTCCTTGGCCGTCAAGATGACCTTGAGAGTATCCTTGGCTCCCAGAGAGAGGGCAGTCTTGAGGGGAGAGGTCGCGCTCAACCTGTTGGGTGGGCAATTCGTCAGCAATTGAGGTTCTCTTGCATCACGGCTTCCTTGTTTCCTCCTTCCCACCAGAGCTTCCAGAAAGCGTAACTCACTTCTCCTTGGTGGCATCCTTGCCCTTGCCAGTAATTGAGACGGTGGCACTGTCGAATCCCCATGATGAGGTGGCCTGCGCGGCACCGGCCGCAAACAGCGCGAGGGCTGGCGTCAGGGAGTTGAGGAATCGCATTGTGCTGCTGAGGATGCTTGTCTGTGGCAGCTTTAGCTTGGGCTTGGGAGCTTCACATCACAGGCAGTTCACTTATGGACAGCTTTCGTGTCCATTACGAACTACCGACTGTGCACGGTCCATGTATAGCGGGACCCTGCAGACGGTGCAATCGTTGTTAGCACAGTCTTCTGCACAGTACAGACAATGGCCTTTCATTCTCACGCATAGTTTACTTCGAATACCTCAGACACTTTCATCTCGAGTAAACAATAGGTGATCTCTTTGCAGCGAATCTCTCATTGAAGACATTGAAATTGAAAATGCCATGCTGCCTGGTCAAGGCCATGCAACGAACTTATTACTATGAGATCTCGAAACCAAAGCGCTATCTAAGTATACGGTCTACATGCATCGCTTCAAACTGCAAAAATCATAGTTCGTCTTTGACGTCGCTAGACTCGCTAGCAGCCTCACCCTCTATCTGCTTGGGTAGGTGCTCATCCAACTCCATCCACTCTGCCGCGAAAACCGTAAGGATACGCGCCCAGTCCCGTACCGTTGGCAGGTCTAGGTGAGCACCGTCGTCCTCAATCTTGTGCCACACGTCAGGGAACGGCGTGGGGATAATGTGCAGGATCTCGACACCCCGCTGCAAGAATGGTACATGGTCATCCAGAACATAACCACCGCCGAAGCCGACCTTCTCTTTGTTCCTATCCGTCAGGAAGGGGTGTTTCGGCTTGGTTTCGAGGACATCTAGTTGGCGCATGCGATGTTCAATCTTTGCCATCTTCTTATAGGCCCAGTGGGTGGAAGGGAAGTAAGATGGTATCCGGGGATTAGGGGCGCCCAGGAGATCGATGAGAAGGAAGAGGCTAATGGACGAAAGAGGAGTCTTGTATAGACCATCAGGGTGAACAGAGTCTTCCCAGCTCTTGGCGAGCGCCCTAGAGGATGTTAGACAAACAGACTAGTCATGCAGAGATTCAACCAACATACCTGGCTCCATAGAGCGAATCTGTATCAGTCCACGACACCCACGCCTCCTCTCCATCAAGCAGAATGATCTGGACTCCCTTCTCCTCTTCGAGCCCGCTCCCAGCGTCACCCGAGGCCTCCATCGCCTTCCACTTCTTCACCAGAGCCTCTTCAATGTTCCTCGCCGCGTGAAGCAGCATCGCGCAAGGCGCCGCACTGTCAATCGCCCCAATGAACCCTTCCGGGTGGTACAGACTGTCATAGTGCGCGACGAGCGTCAGATACTCGACGTCTCCGCCCTTGGCCCACGGAGGGTCGCGGCGGAAGATGAGGTTCGTGAAGGGTATCTCCTTATCTCCGGTCGCGGGCGTCTTGGATGTCGAGTTGTGCCACTCAATGATCCACTCGGGCAGGTTGGCGCGGAAGAAGTCGACAAAGTGTTGCTGCACCTTGAGCGAGCCCGGGGTGCCGGGGACGCGGGGGATGAGGATGGGGGCCAGTAGCGCGCCGGTGTCGATGTTGAAACCGTCGCCACCCGAGGGGATCGCGCGAAGGGCCTCGTCGCCGAGTTCGGTGTAGGCGGTCGTGGGGGTGAAGAGCGAGCAGAGGACTATGAGGATCGACCCGACGAGGGGTAGCTTCGGGAGGGAGTTCAGAAGACCCATTGTGGTGACGGCGGCCAGGTCGGGCGCAGCAGGCTCATGCTGCTCTGGGACTGTGATCTGGGTTGTTCGATAGGTAAGCGCCCGACGGCTTCTCTTTGCGCAATGTGTTTAGGTTGCGACCGCCGCCATGTTGGGCGGGGAGAAATGTGTTCTGTCAAAGACCCTGAGATGCAATGCGACTCAGGTCCCACGAGGTCCCCGCCGAGTGGTCGGGGCATAGAGTGGTCGAGGTGGAAATGTGCCGTTAGGGAGGCTCCACTCACGGAGCCAGATCCACCGCTCCGCACGCCGCCTGGGAAACGCTAGAGGAATTCTGGGGTTTGGGTTGTCAACATTGCACTTGACACACGGCACCGGCACGCAAGGCCAAGCCGTCGTCGCAAACATTCTTCAAGGTATCTGATCAACAACAGCTCGCAAAAGACTGGCTGACGGCGAGGTCCAATCATCGAAGGACCTAAGGTAGTCTTAGCCTTAGTCCATGACTATGCACTCTAATCTCCAACGGATGGACCACATCGCCTATCCCCGATGGTCGGCATCTTCTCCACAAATCCGTCGGCGTTAACACCCAACGTCACTTACACTGAAGACCGTCGCGGAAACATCTCTTGATCATTGATCACAGTCCAACCCCTCAAGTTGGACTAAAAAAAGGCCTTGCGGCATGAAACCTTTGGCATCACTTGGCAAGGGCCTTTTGATTCTAATCTCCGTGTCGTACAGGTCAATGATAGACCACTGCGGTGCCTCTATCGCCGAGTGGCTTGAGTGATGGTCGAGTTCTATGGATCTGACATGCAGGAGGATGATTGCCCTCTCTCGGTGACAGAACAATCGAAGGAGACTTGAGATATTCAGATGAACGGGCTATAATAGACAGATTGCCTCCGCTTCTCTTGAGGTATGGTGCTTCATTGTCATCGACCCATCAGAACATTAACAACATCTTTCTTGACCGCAATACAAACCTTCATCACCTTTGTTACTCCATCGAATCCTCCTTTACTACTCAAACCATAAAACTTCACCTTCGAAATGGATTCCCCAGTCTGGTTCATCACTGGCGCCTCTTCAGGATTCGGCCTTGCCATCGCCAAAGAAGCTCTCTCTCGCGGCCACCGCGTCATTGCAACCGCCCGCAATCCAGCCAAGCTCTCTGACCTTGCCTCCGCAGGCGCCAATCTCCTCCCTCTGGACGTCACCGCCGATGAGGCCACCATCACAGAAACGGTCAACAAGGCCTTCGCCCTCCACGGCAAAGTGACCCACGTCATCAACTCCGCCGGCTACATCCTCGAAGGCACCATCGAGGAGGCCAACGCCAAGGAAGTCTTTGACCAGTACAACACCAACGTCCTCGGCACTCTCAAGGTCTCCCGCGCAGTGGCTCCCCACCTCCGCGCCCAGCGCTTCGGTGCCGTTGTCAACATTGGCAGTCTCGGCAGCTGGAAGAGCGGCCCGGCCTTTGCCATGTACTGCTCTACCAAAGCTGCCGTCAGCCTGCTCACCGAAGGCTTCCACGATGAGCTGAAGCCGTTTGGTATTGACGTCTGCATCCTTGAGCCGGGCTACTTCCGTACCGGGTTCCTGAACCCCGGCGCCCGCATCAAGGTTGAGCAGTCTGTCGATGCGTATACCGAGAGCGCCGCGGGCCAAGTTAGGAAGCTGCTGGAGACTGTCGACAACAACCAGCCTGGTGACCCGATCAAGGGTGCGCGCGTGGTCGTCGATGTTCTGACCAAGTCTGGAGTTGCTGAGGGCCGTGAGATCCCTCAAAGGCTGGCTTTGGGCACTGATTGCCTCGCAGTCATTCGCGAGAAATGCAAGAGCACCATGGCTCTTCTTGATGAGTGGGAGTCGATCTCTGCTTCGACCGATTTCTAGAGTCTAGGTCACCCGATGGGCTCTCCAGAGGTTTATGGGTTGGTTATCAAGACGACGGCCATGGTGGGAGAAACAAAGAGATGGCGTTCTAGCATGCAAATAGTACCATTACGTTTATTCAATTTACCAGATGCCGACTGGATGAATACATGACCCTTTGAAATTTCTCAGCCGAACCATCTCATAATGGTCGCTGATCTTAAGTTCAGCCTCTTGAAAGGATACCTTTATCCTCTTGGTGTGTGACATGTGGTCTTCGTAAAGGAGAAATGTGAGTTTATGACAAATTGAAGCTCTATTTTGTATCTCATTTGTCCGGACGCTGGAAAGCTAGCGGATAACATTAAGAAGTTGTTTGGCAAATGCTTATTTCAAAGCTTATACGTTTTCACCATCAACATCATGCATCTCATGACTCACGTAAAGCATGATGGCCCTATACAACGCCTGGAGCGACGAATCAGACCACTCGAGATCAACGACCGGTGGCCAACACAGCATTCTCAAGTAAGACATGATCACACAAAATGCCCAACGAGTTCTGAATAGTCTGGAAAGAAAATCGAGGCAAACATTGAATTCGGACCATCTATCCTAAACCACCCAGCCATCTCACTACCGCAAGTGAACCTGAGTATTTCGGACACCATAGTTTCTCATGTGTGTCTAGCCCCAGATCTCGCACTTTGAATGGCAAACGGTAGAAACACGCCCGACGGAGTAGCGGAACGTCCCACCCATGCTACGAACGGGACCAGGCTCGCAGTACACGCCCTCAATCGCGGCGTCGGGGGCGCCGTAGTAGACAACTTCCGTCAATCGGCATTCGCTGCGGGCACCGAATTCCTTGGCCATCGAAGCCTTCAGCTCAGCCGGGATGGGCTTGCTGCAAGTATCGAAAGGCACATAGCACTTGTACTTGTCCTTTGGCTGGTTCTGGGCAAGTGTGCCCGAAGCCGCGCAGAGGAGGACGGCGAAGGTGAGAGAGCTGAACTGCACTGTGCATATGTTAGACTGGGGTTCAAGAGATGTAGGAACTATCTACGTACTGTTGATACTTTGGACGATGTTGTATGATTGCCTGGTCTGCAAAGGACAAAGGTGGAAATGAGTGACAGGAGTTTGACTGAAGGTGTGTTGTAATATGTGCAGGATGTTTTGTTCAAGATTCAGGTATGCAAATATTTCGAGAGACAAAATCGTGGGACTTATATGCAAATTCTTTAGCCTCCAGATGGAACTGTACCGAGGCTGTTTGAGCATTCAGATTGATCTTACCTCCACGCGCCCCTTGAGCAATTTGAGCTGGTAAGCTAGTTCATGGTGTAGAGGTCCTTCTGTAAGTTTCTTTCGCCTCATCTCGGCCTTCCAAAATCGCTTTGTTTAACCCTCTTTTGGCGTAGCATCATTCTGGTGGTTCTGCAACAGGTTGACAACCGAAAACGAGGAAGGAGGCTTCGCCGAATACCTTCCTAGCTAGAAATTTAGCATAGGAGTCAACTGACAATGAAAACGTATTAAATGAACACGAACAGGCTAAGTGTGTATTGTTCATCGCATCCTTTGACTTCAATGCAGTATGCAATTTCGGCCGCCTTCCTAGGCTGGTCAAGGAGGCACTTAAACCCCGATGGGATACTTTTGGACGGCTTTTGAGAGAAGTTGCCGCCTGTTGTCAACTTTTCAGAAATCTAAAGACCAGCTATACTGTTTGTGTTAGTTATCTCGGTCCAGCCGAGACCTGTGTACTGGTTTAAGCTTTGTCTAGCGTTGTTCGAAACCGTTCGTCTTACCACGTAGGGTTTTCCCTAAAGATAAGTTGACCTATGCATACGATTTATACAGCGAGAGATACACTGAGTTGCCTAAATGCCTAATACGAGTTAGGGAAGGCCAATGCTATGAATTAAAAACCTAGATTCATGAACTCGAACTTACAACGGAATGCTCTCTAGACTCATTCCATTCGCAGCCGATGGAGTGAGGATGACTCGGCATGTTTGTAATTTTCTACAGCTTCACGTAGGAAATGCTTCATCATCGTGAGTCGAGTGAGTTCTGTTGAAGTTGTCGCCGCCTGGCTCCAGGCCTTAAAAGGGGCCTCTTATGCCTCACAGGAATGAACTTTTCCCACCTCATCACCACAGTCTCTCATTCCTTGAACACACAATCATTTGAATCTGACCATTCTACAATATTTCAACATGCGATTCTCTGCATCCGTCTTCACCGCAGTGGCCTTGGCCTCTGTGGCCATGGCTCTTCCAACCGACGTTCAGACCGTCGACTTGGCTGAGCGTGACTTCGTTGTGGAAACGCGTGATCTCTCCGGCCCCTCGTCTAAAGTCGCTCCCAACACCGAGCTAGCCGTCCGCCAGCTTCCCCCCTCCAAGCGCAAGAACCTCTTCACCATCACCCTCAAGGGTGGCAACGTCATCTTCAACGGCGACATCAAGTTCATCCTCGAGACCGTCGTCGACACCACCAGTAAAGTCACTACTTTCCACCTCAACCCCTTAGTCGGTGGAAGCCCTGGATCAACCGCTTCCATGCGCAGCTATGAGTTAAAGAAGAACTTCTTCGAGTCGACCATCAACCGCGTCTCGGCTGAGGTGTCCTTCACTTACAGGACCGCATCTGGTGTCATCTACAACTTCCTTGCCAACGTTGTCTACGGAATCGACTCTCGTCTTAGTCTCAAGCTTGAGGATGTTCAGCTCTTTGACATTGAGAAGGCTACTCAGCAGATTGCTGGCAAAGCGGCCACCAACCTGTTCCTTGGTTCTTACGATGATGACTACAAGGACTTGTAGATGAAAAGTCTACAAGAACTTGGAACCGAGGTCTCCTATCAATGGTGCCGTATCTTGTCAAAGAAACTTTGTTCCTCTGTTTCAAGTCACCGACAAAAGGATATAGGGGACGGCTTGATAGGCTGCACCAAGGCTACTATTCTCCTGTAGATGACTGTGGATCGACATCTGTCTCAATCAATAATCTCTCGTCTCTTGTTAAGGTACGAAAAGATATCGGGGGGTAGGTTATAGATATATGGATAGCTTTCAATAGATTCTCTATGTCCAATCTACTTAGCAGAACTGGGATGCCTTTACCAATAGCTGAACGTTCGAATGTGGAGTCTTGAGGTTGTAGGGTGTGATGACACCGTCTCATTCGAGTTCAAACCGAGACGCCGAGACTTCTCATCACATCCATTCTTGCGTTGAATTTTACCAGCAGTATCACGAAGCCTGGCGCCTGCGTTGCGTGAGGAGCATGAGCAGAAACCATGTCACATACACCGTGGAAGGTTGTGGATGCCGTGCTTACCGATAACTTGTGGGTAGATCGTATACAGTGAGATTTTAGTGGTCCCGTATCTCCAATCCGAATCAATTCATAGAGCCTCCTGCTCACCCACTCTCATCCTTTGCATATCGAATTGAACCCCCTCTTTTGCGATATTTGTTCTCTTTCCCCGTTCAAGAGCTACACGTCGTTGTAGAATTGTCGCATTGTGTGAATGCAACCATCATAACCTGCAAAGATGGCAGACAAGCACGGCAAAAACTCTCACTTAGATGATTTTCGCTATCTTTCCGTTCCTCGTCCGGCCCGAGGCTATCATTCAGACAACGAATCACGGCAGAAAAAGAAGACCACACCCCGATCGTCATCACCTGAAATACGATTCGGACCTGGAAAAGGAACAGAAGTGTCTCATGCTGTGGCGTCTGGCAATGACAGGCCATTTCCGGAGGCACTTTCTCCCCAGCAAAAGAGGCCTTTACACCGGAAGAAAGTTTCCTTCGGTGCTGTAACAATTGAAGCGTCAGCTTCGCAGCCGCGATCTATCTCACCCGGAGGTCTCAGTGATAATACCTATTATTATAAACAGCTTGGCAAAGACGAATTCCGCCTGGTCAGAGTCCTCCCAACGAGGACGTCCACAATCAAGATCGAAATATTGCACAGATCCATCACAAGCCCTCCAGACTACGTGGCCGTATCTTACACCTGGGGGGATCCGGGAGACACCAAACGCTTAGATCTCGATGGTACAGAAATCCGTGTTTCTTCCAGCCTCCATGGCGCGTTGAGGGTCCTTCGACAACATCAGGAATCAGTTCTCGTATGGGTAGATGCACTCAGCATTAACCAGCAAGACTCTGCGGAGAAAACCCAGCAAATACAACTCATGACAAGAATCTACAGGCTAGCAAAGTCTGTAGCCATTTGGCTGGGGCCTGAAGCAGATGAGAGCGATTCCGCTACAAGATTTCTCAAAGAAGTGGCCCGGAAACCAGATGCCAGGGACTTCACACCACTCATTTCATCGGGCACAAGGAAGACGGAAGTACGCGCTGTTATCTCCCTATTCGAGAGGGAGTATTGGAACCGACTGTGGGTTGTTCAAGAGGTCTTCAATGCTCGCAAGATCCTGGTTTATTGTGGCTCCAGTGTTCTTCCGTGGGAAACTTATACGGACGCTGCCAGTGTCTTCCGGAACAATTTGAAGGTCTTGAACCGTTATTTGTCTGGCACTGAGCAAGGCAAGACCTACACAGGAGTTTCGCGAAATCACTTCACCTACGCCGCAATCCTAGCAAATCATGGCCCTTCGAGTCTTCCTAAGAGTCGATCCCTTACCGGGTTCATCTTTGGGGAGTACTCTTTGTTGGAGGTAATGAGGGCATGCAGAACCAAGAATGCGACTGATCCAAAGGATAAAGTGTTTGGAACTCTGGGCCTACTCTCTGAAGAGTTGCGAAACGATACCAGAGTCGACTACGGATCGACTGTCAAGTCAATCTACACGGACATTGTCGACTTGATCGTGTCAACCACAGGACGTTTGGATGTCATTTGCGACTCTATCCATTATCCACTGCACGCGAACAACGCTAGCCTCCCTTCTTGGGTCCCTGACTGGTCACATAATCCTGGCACAAAGGCCATGGGCGCCATGAACCTCTCTTCAAAGTTTTCGGCATCTTTAAGCCAGAAGGCAAAAGTTGTCTTGGATGGCAATTTGCTGGAGTTGAGTGGCGTCGAAATCGATACCATCGAAGTTCATGGTATTGCGGTTGGCCCTCTAGGAAAGCTGGCCGACTACCTAATGGCGTTTGTCCATTGGAGGGCATTGTTCCTGGGACAATACAAAGGAGAAAAGCTTGACAACCAGTATCACTTCTTCCGAGCGCTTTGTCTTAACCAAGTGCCCTCGGAAGTGAACAATCCTAAGGACTGGGTGACGGCTTGCAACCACGTCTTCGCATCCTTGCTGCGTGAACGCCTGCCTGAGCTCCCTCTTGACCGGGAACTCGAGGAATACGTCCACGCTACAACAACGATCGGACCCCAGGATCGACGACAGTTTCTCCAAGAACACTTTGGGGACCGTATGAGAGGGCGTTGTTTCTATGTGACGAAAGAAGGCCGCCTCGGGATGGGGTCAGGCTACATGGCTGTCGGCGATGTCATTGTTGTGCCGTTTGGTTGTTCTACCCCTATCATCATCCGTCCAGAAGGGAGCGACGGGGGTTATCGCTACGTTGGAGACGCTTATCTCAACGGCTTCATGTACGGGAGAGCGATTGATCAGTGGAGAAAGGGGGAAAGGAAGGAACGAAAGTTCAGATTGCGCTGAAGAGTGGGCGCGAAGGGGGTGGAATGATGTATCATGTAGTGATACTAGGAGAACACCGATGAGGGCGTTTCCAAGACTTCAAAGATACGTCAGAATTGTTTAGTCTTTCCTAATTACTTACTGCTTCTGGTTCATATTTTCTTCTCCGGACTCGTTATCGACGTTCTTTTTGAGTTCATCCACTGCTCAGCAACCGTAAAGCAATCATCATCTTTCACTTCCGCTTGGAAGTACCGATCCGAGGTCGAAAGCAACGTCAAGGTGGCCAATAAGGCGGCAGACTTTGGTGATTGGTGTTTGTGGAGAAATATCCGTTTCTCTGCAAAAAGCAATCGGCCACCTCTCGGAATGTTTGTGCTACAAGGGAAATCAATGGTCCATTGTATCGACTCCACTTACCTCAAGCAAACTTCTCAGGAGCGTGGTCTGCGTTCGATTGCTTGTACTCTCAAATCGATGATTTTCTCCCCAATACTCACCGTCTATCCTCCCATACTGACTGTCTGTTCTCACAAATACATCAATAGGCGGCTCGTGTCCGTAGTGGTCAGCGAGAGGAGAGGAACCGTCGGACTATGTGTTGGTGAGCGCCGACCCAGCCTGAAGGACGAGCGACGGTGGTTGGCGAGAGGAGAGCCAAAGAAGCTGACCGCGTCACTGGTACGAAATGAGATGTCGAATCCGAGCTTATCGAGTATCCTTCCAAAGTTGTTGCTTGTTTGGGAGGTTGAGTGTAACCTCCCCTGAGGCTGATTTGCAGGCGTCTTCGTATCTTTGACGAATCTTGCGTGGGCGTGTTTGTACGGCTTGGCATTACATGCCGCGTCGGACACCGTTCGGTCGGGGAGATTGGTGATGTAACTCCCGCTTACGCGGTAGGCCGTCGCATCGCCCGTGAACCGTCTGCTCCATGATCCGTCGCTGGCTCGGGCGCAAGGAAGCGGCCGACAGGGCTGCGGCGTGTAACGGAGTCCTGCAGTCTCCTGAATCTCATTCCCTGATAACACCACCGGGCGCAGCCATTGGGATGCTAGCGTCACAAACAAGGCGTCGACCAAGACGGCAGGTTCTAGAAAGTGCGGATGTGACGAGGAACCAATCGAAGTGTTTCCGGCCCTGCTGGCATCCACTCCCGCTCTGCCGCCGGTGGGTGAAGGACAGCCCCCTAGTGGTGGGTTTGATCAGTTGCGCTGTGATTTGCGCCGTGTTCACTGGTGACTGCTGGCAGGCCGCAGATGAAGCTATTTCGATGCCTCGGGATTAGGGGCTTCTTTCTCCGCTAGCTTGTGGCAATGACGAATGCCCCCTGGGTCCGCACCCTGGTTGCAGAGACTTCCGTGGAGACGTAAGGAGGTGGGCAAACCTAATATGATTGAGTATGAGCCATACCGCAAGATTGATATCTGATCGTGCGGGACGACCCCTGGAGGGGACAACCACTCTGATGAGTGTCCCGAACAAGAACACCGAAGACTCCACATATGCACAGTCCGTAGCGACAACACGGCTTACAAATGGAGTAGGGTGCTGCCAGCGGCCTTGCAAGCGGACCCCGAAGAGCTGGAGCTAGCACTTGCGAACAAGCAAGAAGTCCGCCTTGGCGGTACAGATGGCCCCTTTCGTCACAACCAAGTTCCAATGCCGTGCGAAGCGCGGGTTCATCAAAGTCACCAAACGTGACGTGCATCCCGTTTCGGATTGGTGTGTCCTGCTCAACATTGTCGTTCGATGGTCCTTGAGGGTCGACTAAAGAATCGGCGTAAGTGAATGTAACAATGAACAGGATGAATGGGGGAGGAATCTATAAGATTTCTCGGAGCCCACATCGTTCCAAGAGGTGGGAGTGTTCTTGATGTTTGTTTCGAGTGATGTGCCAGTGCTTGTGCCTCATGGTGGTCGTGCCATGTCGTTATTATTTAGTGTTGCATACTTTGGTGATTGATGTAGTCAAAAAAGGGGGTCTCGAGTACCTAAGAAGCCGGGGAAACAAGGTGCGGCACGTAAGAAGAGTTAAAGATTAAACGAACGGATGGCCTTTTTGGTCTGGACATTGGCCGTCTTTAGACGTTGGGAATTTGGACTTCTCGGAAAAGCGTACGGAGTCGACGGCGCCCGCTCGGGTCGCTTTAACTTTCCGAAAGCCCGTACAATCAATGGGGACCGCCCCACACCTCCGACTACCTAACAACGTTGCGGACTTTTTCGTGATGATCGCCGCTAAGGGAGCCGCCGCCATCGACCCACACCATTCAC